GCTGCTTTTCTTCCTTTTCTCACTTGTCCCCAGCTCTTCTTACAAAGACTCTTCCTTTTTTTTCTTATTTACCCGCTCATACTCAATTAAAGTATGGATTCGGGCAAGTTATAGAAAGCACTTTTTCATCTATCTATCGCGCTGGCTATCAGTGCGATACCTAGTTAGTATAATACCCTGTTGCTCTCTGCACATAATCCAAGGTGACCTATCTCCTCGACCGGCAAGGCATTGAAATTTAGCGCCACCCCTGTTACTTGTAGTGTTGGAGACATGGATGACTAAGGGGCCGGAAACAATTCCGAAAGGTCCGAGGTGTTTTGAAGTACGTAGTAGGCCAACAATCAACTCTTTCTCATCGCTTGCAGAGCAGACAACCCCTCGCCCACCTGGGATTCTCAAAGCCTCCAACAGATATCACTACCCGCTTTATCTGCTCCAGGCTTTGTAACACAATCACCGCCATGTTTGACGGGCAAGTTCATGTCGACCAATCTCGCGCTGCCTCGGAAAGAAAGGTTCACCAATCGCCTTTCGCGTCCACCACCAAACCAGGTGTCCACCAGACTCCTCCCTCCTCTCAGGCTACTTCAGAAGTTCTATCACCTGATGGATCATTTAACATGCAGTACTATCTTACTCAAGGGTTAGAAGATGCAGTCTATACAGAATTTGTGGACAACCACTCGTTCACAGCAGCGGGTAAGTCACAAACAAAGGCATTCCGTGTTCATAATGGGGGACAGTACCTTGTATTTTCCCCCGTAAGCGAAGAACAACTTGCAAAGATCGAATGCCTACGTGACGCAAACTACAAACAACTCCATTTCCTCTATGTCAACCAAGCACAAACTTTGGTTGCTAAACTCATGCTGAGTGGAATTCATGAGGTAGCGACAAGCGAGTTTGGCCGGATGCTATGGAACAAGACAGCCAGTATGGGTGACGACCTTGACGAGGATCTACTGGACATGCGGGGTACAAGGTACAAGGGGGTTTCGAGTAGTAAGGAAGCTGATTCTGCTTTCAGACCCGAGTCATCCCGTCCTCATGGAACAAACTGGCCCACAGTGGTAGTTGAATCTGGTGTGTGGGAAACACTAGAACGCTTGCGTATTGATGCCAAGTGGTGGCTTTATAACTCCTCAGGGGATGTCCGTATTGTTCTACTTTTTGCCATCAAGGAAGTAGGGCAAGAGATTCTCATAGAGCAATGGGAACTTTGCCCTACCAATAATCAGGCCAGAACCCCCCTTCATCCCAAGGATATTATTGAGACACCTACATGCACTGCATCTTTTAATATTCTCCCAGCAGGCACTGCGAAACCCGGTGCTTTCCTGCCAGTTGCCGGATCCAAGACAGATCCTCCTGCTCTCACCCCAGATTACCCTTCAGAACCTGCGGCTGTCACCCGGGTCAGCCCTTCCGTACCTGCTGCAGTGACTCCAGTCAACCCTTCCGAAACTGCTACTGTCACCCCCGACAATCCTTCTGTACCTGCAGCAGTCACCCTAATCAACCCTTCCGAACCAGCAGTAGTCACTCCAGTCAACCTTTCCGAACCTGCTACAGTCACCCCACTCCATCCTTCTGAATCTGCTGGAGTCACGCGGGTCGCCCCGTCTGAACCCACTACAGTCACTCCAGTCAACCCTTCTGAACCTGCTACAGTCACCTCAGTCCACTCTTCCAAACCTGCTACTATTACACGGGTCAACCCTTCAGCATTTGTTGCAATTACTGCAATGGATGATACCACACCAGTTGTTGTTGGAGAAGGTCTTAAACTAAATTTCGAAAAGATCTTTGCTCGGAAGCCACTCCAAGGCAGCTTGGAAAAAGATATCGAATTCACACGACGGGATCTTGAAAAGTGGGCACAGAAGCTCTGGCGGCAGAGACATTCAGAACGGACTTCCCGTTGAATTTGGTAAGTTTCTACCTGCCTACCATGTTAGATATTTTTGCTCACATACTAGAATGCTAGTGGTTCCCTTGTGGGAAAATTGCGGATCCTCTATGGGTATTGTATTTTTATGCGAACTCTTTCTAGGGGTGGTGGTAGGAGGTGGGACCTTTATTATAAATGGCTTCTTGATTGTTCTTATTTTTTGCTACTTTTAGCTTTTTCCATTATATGTATTATAGTCATCATGATGTAGAATAACCAATGTACAGGTCCTCAGTCATGTAAACAAATTGTGATGGTAGCTGTGTTAATTACTATCCTCACAGTCTGTCATTGCTTGCAGTCCTTCGTCTCCTTCAATCTCTATAAAATTTCTCTATTTCATTTCCACCTCTACCTTCATACCGTGATATTGCCATAGCACAATAATGGCTATTGTTGATAGACCTTTTTATACAACAAATCCCAATTTTGAGAGCAGCGGAACTCCACCACCTACCCTGCTAGCCAACTCTTTTCTTACAACTGTGATTGGGAGTGGAGACAACTCTCGCTTGTAGAAACCCAGTTACAACTAGCAGGAATTCTGTGGAGAATGTATAGCATACAAAAGACTAGTTAATAACACTGGCGGAGAAAAATTGCACTTTGTCTAGGCTGGCATTGGGAACAACCCATGTCTTAAACTGGGGTGATACTCAACTACACTATGAAACTCATTTTAGATAATAGTTATCCAATAAAGTACCACCAACAAAAAATAATTATCAAAATTTCATCTGTATCATATCAAAAAGTACACAGACTGCTATCTGCTCTGTGAACACTTTGACTAAACCATTTTCCTTTTTTTCCCCTTCTACCGCAATTTATTCTATTCGTTAATTCTTCTATCTCTCTGTACCTCCTCTCACTCTTCACCATACTCCTCAGTCTGACCAACCTTTTTTTCTCCCAGTCCCAGTAAACTACATTCTCCACAGCCTTTCTATGGAAACTAGGCCTTATCTGTCTTCAACTAAACCTCTAGACAATAGTAGGCAAACAAAGACCCAATTATCCAACCTCCCATCAACTACCCATCCAGACAACTTTCATCTAACCCATGCTCTCTGCTGTGAATTGCAGACAAGCTTGGAGATGAGACTGAATGGTCTGATTTTCATGTTCTTAGTAGGTTCTCCATAACTTCATGGTTTGAATATTACTAATAGAAGTACTGGCGGAGGGTCCGAAAGAGGAGAAGCGAAGACCTGATTTCCATCCTAGTAATAGAGTAACCCACCCTGGTTCTGTAAGTCTAGTGTATATTGAAGTGAGTTGAAGCAGTTACTAGGATGTAATTAACTTAACTTTCTGATGTTTGTATGATAGCTAGCCCTCTATGAGTACAGCTATCACCTGGTGTATCCAGTTGTAGTTTTTCTTTTCTTTCTTCTCATAGGCCATCCAACTTCAAACATGGTTTCCATCAGCAAAAATTCATTCTGCGTCAGATCCGCGCGTCTCACATCCCGACACAGCGCGCTCGTCCCCTGCGTCCCCTGCGTCCCCTGTGTCCCGTGGGTCCACTACTCCGGCGCAACGCCCCCCTGCGTCATCTGCGTCCCCCTTTTTACCCTGTCGATTCCCTCCGTCTCCAAGCAGGCGCCGTCCGCCCATACGTCCGGACTGCGTCCTGTTTCTGATCCAATCTTGTCGTCGTCCTGACGCCGCGACCTGAGGTCAACTGCGAGATCAAGCTTTCTCCGCATCCTGATGCTCTGTTCTCGCTCCTTTCCTGATTGCTAGTTTCCAGCTGCCGTTACCGCAATCCGTTAACTACCAATTTGATTCCCGGGCCCGGCATTCTTCATCTCTGACAGCCACCTCTCGGTTCTCGTTTCCTCCATGTTTACCCGCGGTCAGCACGTCCGAGTCTACGGCGTCACCTTTCTGATGCCGAAATGAAAGTTTTGACGCCCAAGCTCCCATCGCGATGTCCACATCTTCTCCTGTCTCCAAGCTGATACCAGCTCCGACCAAGGCCCACGTCGCACATCATCACACCCTGTTCTTGGTTTACTAGTACACGTTCTCTGGTTCTGAACACAATCTCGTTCACCTTGAATCTTGTATCATTAATTTTTACTCTACTATTACGCAATTATTTCTACCAACAGTTTGAGTTACTACGCAATGGTAGGGATTTCGACGCTCCCTGCTGGCCCTGTGGTGTATCCTGCCTTGCGACGCAGGATACACCACAGGGCCTCCATTCGTTCCCTCGGATGCGATCTCAATAGATCTCATTGAACGTCCTCAAATCGATTCTACTATTCACCAGCCATCGCCGGTCACCGGCTGGGACCAGGTGCGCCTGGCCCAGAATGGTCCCAATGTCCACTATTGGAAACTGTTCTGCCTCTGTCCTCTGCTCCACCGTGACGAGACCATGGGCATCGGATGGCCGCCCGGAATTCACCACATTTGTCATTTCTACCATTGCTAGTCTGTAGACCCTATCCTGGTGCCTGTAGTCCCGGATCTTGAACAGCGCCCTGAGTGTAGCGGGAAGACGTCCTCTGAGGGCACCATACATGTGCTCCCCTCCTGCCTGCACCCAAACCAAATCATTGTGACTCTGTTGCTTGCGGAAGAGCCGAGAACCCGTACACAGTGCCCGGTGGACATCATAAACTTCCGTTTCCTGGAACGCGGGAATGGGGATTTCAAGTTGCGTCATCAGTTCAGTCGGAAGTAGTTAAAGTATTGCAGGATCTTCGGGAAGCGAGCGCTCCATTGGCAGGCTGCGACGGCTATACCGGATCAATTCCTCACAAATGCTGTCGGTCGAAATTCCGACCGCCTTGCACAAATCCACGATGTTTCAAACGTCACGTTGTCGTCCCTTTAGGATCCTGCGGCATGTGACAGACCCAGATGCGGTATCTTCTGCCTTCAACATGTCAACGGCCTCGGGAGGTAGATCTGCGCCTCGACGTCGAAGGGCGTCCAGGTTCAAGAGTGTCATGTGTATCCCGTGCTGTCGACTGTAGCTCTGTAGGATCTGGCGCGCGGCGTTGTTTTTGTTCGAACGCCGCCAGCCGTCTTTGATTTGTTCCTTATGTGCGAGCTCGCCAAACTCCGTTGAATACATTTGAATGTTGCCGAACTGATATATGTGATCCGAAAAATGGCCGAGCAGATGCATCTTAATAAAGTTAAAATGAGATTCCGCATGGATCAGTTCTAGGCGTAACTCGTCGTCCTCCCCACGATGTTCCTCCAGCATCCGACGCTGCTTGGATTTGGTGAGAGATTGATCCACACGCCCCCGTAGACGTCGCTGCTCTCTTCGTTGGTCGTTGAGCTTTTCTCGTGTCCTTTTAGATATCCGAAA